CTGAACTTAATTCCTGTGTTTGCTCCTGATCGTTTTAATGTTACCCACGTCACTCTGCCTTAAGATCTGCCTCTTTGTGGTTAAAATGGAACTACAAAGGCTGAACAGAACATTTTCTTCCATGCTGTGTGACATGATATTCAGGTGGCCTCAAAAGAAAACTCTTAGCTCCCTTTTACACCGAAAAAAGTCTTGTTTAATCTAGTACCATCTTTAGGCTATAGCTTTTTCATGCAACTGCTATTGACTACCAGGTTTTGTCCCTTCTTCTAATTTTATTAGTTGGGCTGGAATATTTTAAATTTATGTTTGTATTTTGAAAATAATTTGAATGACTTTGTATTTTTTATAATCTATATCCATGTGTATTTTTGGTACATTTGTTTCCTGAATGTGCCTATTGCTGACCTTAGGTCTTGTGTCCCAAGTACTTGATTTTTATAAAAAACTAGCTGACTCTGGTTCTTTTTTAGAGTTTCACAGGCATGATTGTGTTTCTGAGTATAGATTTGTGTTGTTGTTGTTAATCCTCACCAGAGGATATTTTTCCCAGGGATTTTTTTTTTTTTTTTTTAAGATAGAGTGAAAGGGAGGGGGACAGAGAGAGAGGAGAGAGAAGCATCAATGTGAAACACATTGATCGGTTGCCTCCTGCATTCATCCCTAAAAACCAACTGACCCATGGGGAGTTGGGGGATGGGAGGAGGAAGGAGGGGAAGACCAGGGATTAAACCTGCAGCCAGGTATGTGCCCTTGACTGGGAGTCGAAGCCTAGACCCTTTGGTGCACTGGCTGATGCTCTAACCATGGAGCACATTGGGCAGTGCCTCAGTATAGATTTTTAGTGTAAGGTAAGGTTGCTGTATTTTTCCTACTTAAAAAACTCAAGTGATCTTAGGTATTTTTTAAAATGAATTTTAAAATTTTATGTATATTATAATCATACTAGAGGCCCGTTGCACGAAGATTCGTGCAATAGGCTTTCCTTCCCCTGGCTGCTGGCACTGGTTTTCCTCTGGCACCCAGGACCCAGGCCTTCACTCTGGCCACAGTGGAGAAGCCATGCCTCTTCCGTCTTTAGTCATCTCAGTCTTCAGTTTTTAGTCTTCGCTTGGGCCAGAGCCTTCAGTCTTCACTCGACACTTATGTATGCAAATTAACCCACCATATTTGTTGGGTTAATTTGCATACACATTCCTGATTGGTTGGTGGGTGTCGCAGAGGTATGGTTAATTTTCATATTTCTCTTTTATTAATGTAGATGCTACTAAGAAAATCCTTCTGGATCAATTAGTGCATTAATTGAATAATGTATTTTTTATGCCCTACCCATTTCCAAAACAATTTGAGGCGACTTACATTACAATAATTTATAATACATTTACCATAATCACTAAAATGGAAGAGATGGGAAATACCAAGTGTTGGGCAAGAATGTGGCACAAGTGGAACTCTTTGACCACTGCAGGGGAGAGAGTAAACTGCTACAATCACTGTGGAATAACTACTAAGCTGAACATAGGTCTACCTTCTGAGTAGACCTGTGTTTTACTCCTAGTCATATACACAGTGGGCATGTATACAAAAACTTATGAAAGGCATCCTATCTAATAAAAGGGTAATATGCAAATTAACCATCACTACATCACAAAGATGGCGGTGCCCATAGCCACAAGATGGTAGTGCCCAGCCCCACCGAAGTCCCCCAGTTCTGAGGCGGCAGCCACTGAGAGTGGGAAGTGTGAGTGGCCTGGCAAAATGCTTGCTTCATTGCTACGGCGACAAGGCAAGCGTTTGGTGCCCTGCCGTGGATTGGCCTCTGGCCAGGCTGGGTGCCGAACATTTGCATCGTCACCCTGGGGACAAGACAAATGTTCCATGCCCAGCCGCAGATGGGCCTCCAAGCAGCGGGTGCAGAGTGGCCAGGTGCCGCAGAGAGCTACTGGTGCATGGATTCATGCGTAGGGCTACTAGTTTGCTAGAATCTTCACAGTAGCACTATTCACAGAAACCTAAGCTACACATAAGCTCTGTATAGTTTGGTTTAGTTTAAGCTTAATCTAAACAGAAAATAATTGTCATATTCATTTTCTTTTTTCCCTATTTATTTATAACTATTTATTGTTTAAAGTATTACATATGTCTCTTTTTTCCCCCATTGAACTCTCCCCTTTCATTCCCACCCCCTCCCCACCTAACACATGCCCTCACTCCCCTACTGTCTGTGTCCATGGGTTCTGCTTATATGCATGCATATAAATCCTTTGGTTGATCTCTCACTCTCCCCTCTCCCCTGCCTTCCCTTTGAAGTTGGATGGTCTATTTGATGCTTTTATGTCTCTAAATCCAGTTTAGTTTATCCATTTATGTTGTTCATTACATTCCACAAATGAGTGAGATCATGTGATATTTATCTTTCTACGACTGGTTTATTTTGCTTAGCATAATGCTCTCCAGGTCCATCTATGCTGTTGCAAATGGTAAGAGTTCCTTCTCTTTTACATCAGCATAGTATTCCATTGTGTAGATGTACTACAGTTTTTTAATCCACTCATCTGCTGAAGGGCACTTAGGCTGTTTCCAAATTTTAGCTATTGTAAATTGTGCTGCTATGAACATGTTGGTGCATATATCCTTTCTGATTGGTGTTTCTGGTTTCTTGGGATATATTCCTAGAAGTGGGGTCACTGGGTTAAATGACAGTTTCATTTTTAATTTTTTGAGGAAACTCCACATTGTTTTCCACCAGTCTGCATTCCCACCAGCAGTGATAGTTCCTTTTTCTCCACATCCTTGCTAGCACTTGTTTGCTGATTTGTTGATGGTAGCCATTCTGACAGGTACCTCATTGTCATTTTGATTTGCATCTCTTGGTTGATTAGTGACTTTGAGCATGTTTTCATATGTCTCTTGGCCTTCTGTCTTCTTTTAAAAAGTGTCTATTTAGATCCTTTGCCCATTTTTTGATTGGATTGTTCACTTTCCTTCTGTTAAAGTATATGAGTTCCCTATAAATTTTGGAGATTAGGCCCTCATTGGATATAACATTGGCAAATATGTTCTCCCATGCAGTGGGCTTTCTTGTTATTTTGTTGATGGTTTCTTTTGCTCCGCAGAAGGTTTTTATTTTGATGTAGTAGACAAAAAAACTCGGTCTTTTTTTTTTAATTCCATATCGATTTTTGGAGAGTTTGCTCTAGGTCTGTGAAATATGCCGATGGTAATTTTATTGGAATTGCATTGAATCTATAGATTGCTTTGGGTAGTATAGACATTTTAATGATGTTGATTCTACCAATCCATGAGCATGGTATATATTTTCATTTGTTTATGTCTTCCACTATCTCCCTTTTCAACCGTCCTATAATTTTCTAAGTACAGATAGATCTTTTTCCTCCTTAGTTAAGTTTATTCCTAGGTATCCTAATTTTTTTTGTTGCAGTGGTAAATTGAATTTTTTTTTTTTTTAAGTTTCTCTTTCTGTCGTTCACTGTTGATGTATAAAAAAGCTATAGATTTCTGGGTGCTAATTTTATATCCTGCTAAATTGCCAAATTCATTTATTAGGTTGAGTAGTTTTTTTTATGGAGTCTTTAGAGTTTTCTATGTACAATATCATATTATCTGTAAGTAATGACAGTTTTACTTTTTCTTCTTTTCCGATTTGGATGCCTTTTATTTCTTCTTCTTGTCTGATTGCTATGGCTACTACTTCCACTACTATGTCAAACAGGAATGGTGAAAGTGGGCATCCCTGTCTTGTTCCTGTTCATAGGAGAATGGTTTCAGTTTTTGCCCATTGAGTATGATGTTGACTATAGGTTTGTCATACAAAGCTTTATTATGTTGAGGTATGATCCCTCTATTCCCACTTTGCTGAGAGTTTTTATCAAGAAATGGTGTTGGATTTTGTCAAATGCTTTTTCTGCATCAATTGATATGATTATGTGATTTTTGTCTCTCAATTTGGTTATGTGATGGATCATGTTTATTGATTTGCGGATATTGTACCTGCCTTGCATCCCCGGAATTGAGTTTAATTGCTTCCACACCTAGATAAGAGTAATTTGTATGTCAAAATCAAGCATATTTGTATGTCAAAATCAAGGTCATCCTGACTAAGTTTGTATGTAGATAGAGTTGGAATAAAATTCCATTTTCACTTGAAGTTTTTTTTTTTTTTTAACAGCATTTATTTCCTCTACCAGTTATTTTATTTTATTGACTGTTAATTTATCAACTCCTCTTGAAAAAAAAAAGGTGAGAGGAAAAAGGTCATAGTATTATCACATTTATATATGTAGGTTCCTTAAACCATATGGTGATTTCTAATTAGAATACAAAAGGTTCTTTGAAGAGGCTAACTTCATAGGACTGCAATGGTGGGTATCACAGAAGGAAAGAGTTTTCTTGAATTTCCGACAAGAATACTTTGTAAGAAGCTCTATGGTTTATAATTGTTCTTATACTCTAAGTCTGATAAAGTTTTTGATGTGTAGATCTCGTTGGTATTTCAAAGCTGGTAATTTAATTCTGAATGTTTGATCCTCTCAATCAGTGGCTTGACTTGATTTTTTTTTTAAAGTAGTTTCAATATTTAATTTCACATGTACCCTCTCAGTAGAGATTTCAAAGGATACTTTGCTGGATGCTTGACTGCCTTGTCTATTTGCTCTTGTTTTGCATGCAAGGGAGAGCCAGAAGCCTTTCTTTTCATTGTGTACACATAGTATTAATGGATTTACTCTGCCTGTATCGTCTCATTACTGGAAACAGCCAGAAGCACAGAAGTCTTTCAGTGTATGCAAATAAGGCAGAATCATCTACCTGAGAGTTAATATTCTCTGCTTTTAAGTGTATTCTAAATCTAATGTTTGTATTTAGAACATAACATCCTGTTCTCTTCTTTTATGGGCAAAAAGCTAAGCAGGCTCAGGCAGCTGTTTGATGTTGGCTTCAAGTGTTATTAATTTCATATTCTATTATTCTTTTCACTGTAGCACAAGTGAAGCTGATGTGGAGGCTGTCATGGATAAGTTGTTTGATGAGCTGGCTCAGAAACAAAATGATTGTACGTAAGTTAATTTCTCTTGAAAGAGAATACATTTAGAACACAATGCCCAATCTCCACTGACCAATTAATAAGTTCCATTGCTGTATATGGGTTGATGCCACGCTCAAGTGGCAGTCATTGTATCAGCATTTTGTCTAATTTATGTGTTGAATCATGTGCTATTATTCATCAAGCTATGCATTTCCTATCTGTAAGAGATGAATTTTATAGTAATTATCCAGACAAGATTGAGTCTTTGTTCATGTTCCCATAGTAACTAGACCAAGGATTCTAAAAGTGCAAGGCAGAGAGCTGTGGCTGAATAAAGCCTGTGGAACCATTGCCGACTGCACATTTGAAGAGCTGTGTGAAAGAGTAAGTATCTAGACACGTCCAGATTCATTGGCCTTTTCACATGTTAAAATGCTTCAGATTTTCCTCTCTGTCTGTTTCAGACTTTAAAATACTATCCACAGAGTCAGAATGGATTTAAAAGTCTCATTAGGGGAAATACTTATCTGTGTATGACATGTGCTTTTTATAGATATTGGCACAAAATTTGCACTTGGACTCTAAAACAAAAATTAGAAATACAGAGAGAACTGTCAACTGTTGCTGGAAGCAGAACTAAAATCAGTCTTAGGAATATTTTATAAAAGTGAAACATAAGAGAGTATTATTATTATGATGATGTTTTTATTGATTTCATAGAGGAAGGGTGAGGGAAAAATCAATAATGAGAGAGAATCATTGATTGGCCCATTTGTACCAGGGTCAAAGTGAGTATTTATAACCATTACATACTCTACCTAATAAAAGCAATATCAAATTAACCACCACTCTGCTACACACAAGTCATGCCCACCAGCCAATCAGAGCGAGCATGCAAATAAACCCAACCAAGATGGCTACAGCCACAGAGAGCAGGAGGGAGGCTTGGATTTCCCAGGCAACGGAGGAAGCCAAGCTTTCCGCCTGCCCTTGCTGGCCTAAGCCTCCATTCAAGGGTACAAAGTTTCCATTATAGAAGGTAAACAAAGCCAAACAGAAATGGTGGCAGCCATGGAGCTGGAAAGAGCGAGAGGCTAGGATTTTCCCAGCAATGGAAGAAGCAAAGCTTTCCACACACCCTGGCCAGCCCAGGCCTCTGCTTAAGGCTACAAAGTTTAAATTATAGAAGATACACAAACCCCAAAAGAAATGGCTGTCGGCTGGCCAAGAAATGAGCAGACTTGGCTCTGCTCCAGGCAACAAATGTTCAATTGTAGAAGGTAAATAAATTCCAGATACCAGGGACTCCCCTTAGGTCTCCAGGGGGGATTGGCTGGCCTGCAAACCACCACAGGCACCTCGGTCAAGCCGCCCCACACCCCAAGGGAATCCCCACCCTGATCTGGGACACCCTTCAGGGCAAACCAGCTAGCCCCCACCTATGCACCAGGCCTCTATCCTATCTAATAAAAGAGTAATATGTAGATTGATCATTGTGCCAACAAATAATATGGCTGCCCACATGTGGTCAAAGATCCTGCCCCTTTGTGGCCACAAGATGGCCACCACAAGATGGCTAGCAGGGGATGGCAGTTGGGAGGCACCAGGCCTGCAAGGGAGGGCAGTTGAAGGTGTATCAACCCTGCAGGGAAGGGTAGTTAGGGGTGACCAGGCTGGTAGAGGAGGGAAGTTGGGGGCAAACAGGCTGGCAGTGGAGTGGCTAGGGGGTGATCAGGCTGGCAGGCAGAAGTGGTTAGGGACAATCAGGAAGGCAGGCAGGCAAGCAGTTGGGAGCCAGCAGTCCAAAATTGTGAGAGGGATGTCCCAGATTGGAAAGGGTGCAGGGTGGGCTGAGGGACCCCCAGCTTCCGTGCACAAATTTTGTGCACTGGGCCTCTAGTATGTTACATAATAATATATTTAACAGAGAAAATGTATGTATACACACATTCATATAAATGAGAAAGACTTTTGATTGCAGATTCATTATAGAAATGAGTTCTGTCTTTTAAAAGCTCTAATTCTCAATGCTCAATGGATAGTCAATATATTTATTTGCTGTAAATCTTGAGAAAAATAAATCTAAATCACACCTTCCTTTAAGAATAATACCTCAATTATCTTTTATAAATTATTATTCCAGCTGGTCTCTGATTTATCTTGACTTTTAAGTAACGAAAAAACAATTGTTTTTCAGTAGGGGAAGAAAAAGTCTTTATTTATACCTGCCATCTATTTCATGAGTACTTTTCTTAAAAGCTAGTGACTTAATTACTTCTAACTAGTGTACATTTGACATTTTTATTTATTTTTAAAAATACATATTTTTATTGATTTCAGAGAGGAAGAGAGAGAGAGAGAGAGAGAGAGAGAGAGAGAGAGAGAGAGAGAGAGAGACATCAATGATGAGAATCTCTGATGGCTGCCTCCTGCATGCCCGCACTGTGGATTGAGCCCGCAGTGCCGGCATGTGCCCTGACCAGGAATCGAACCATGACCTCCTGGTTCATAGGCTGATGCTCAACCACTGAACCATGCCAGTGGGGCTACATTTGCCATTTTTAAACCAGTGAGATAAACCCAATCTACAACTTTCATTATAGAAATAAAGCACTTCAAAACCAATAAGGTTTTGAATCAAGTAGCATTATCTGACAGGGTGATAATGTCTGTCTCTGTTAGTAAATATGGACCCTTCACACTTCTGCTGGGTCACTGTTTTCTGGGTCCTTGTAATCTAATATCTCCAAAGAAATTTCTATTAAGGCTTCCATTAAATTTTATGTACTTTGCCAGAGAAATAAACTTGAGAAAAATCTTGTGTGTCCCAAAGACAAAGCTGCTGCTCCTTCACAAAAGGGACCTAGTGAGGAGAGGGGAAGGACAGACCTGTTGTATCCTAGGTAGTGAGGCAAGATTGTCTCTTGGAACAGATACTGAAGAGATAAAAATCTATCTATCTATCTATCATCTATCTATCTATCTATCTATCTATCTATCTATCTATCTATCTATCTATCATCTCTCTATCTATTTTTAAGTGTTTTTATTGATTTCAGAGAGAGGAAGGGAGAATGAGGGATAGAAACATCAGTGATGAGAAAAAATTTTTGGCTGTCTCCTGAGCACCCCTACTGGGGATTGAGCCCATAACTCGGGCATGTGGTCCCAGAATCAAACTGGGACCTCCTGGTTCATGGATCAAAGCTCAACCACTGAGCCACAGGGCTGGGCATTATCTATATTTTTAAGGTGCTGATGACTTTAGGAGACTTAGTACCAAGAAAAGGCCGCTAGCCAGGACCAAAATCTTCAGTCTATGGTCTGGAGGTAGCAGAGATTATTATTAATTGGGACTTTATTTTAAAAAGTGAAAATAACATTAAAATAAATAATTTTATCTTATTTGAAAAAAATGTGATTTATAATAGTACTATGAACTAAATTCCTAGAATAACAATGAACAGATGACTATTTTTGGCATAACTTTCTTGACAAAGTTTATGATTTGGTTGTTCAGTTACATAGGAAATAATGTTTACAAAAATATTTCAGGATTTCACCATTTTTTTAAAAACCTTTTAATTTGTGAATATTTCAATTATTTTCTTTTAAAGTTTTATTGACCTTTTTTTTTCTTGTTTAAGTTGACAAGATCCTCCTTGATCAGTGACTTTGCATGGACAGGTTTGCTCTTTCTATGCATTGTAATTGTGATGATTACTACATCAGACAAGCATTGACTGACTGACAAAAGATACCCCTGTGAAGGGTGGGGTCAGGTACTGGTACTAAGCTGTGAGAGGTGTTTGAAGACGGGCTACATTTCTATGTGGTCAATTCAATTGTGACTATTTTCTTGCTATGATAATCTTTTGTTTCTTTGCAACCTTATAACTGTGGCAATTCAGAGATTGAATACTTACATGAAGAGGACTCTTGAAATCATTCAGCTCAGTTGTAACCTGAACTCTTAATTAGTTATAATGGTCTTATGAGCCATACTAAACAGTTGCCAAAAACCATCAGTGAAGAAAAAAAATATCCAACCCAAAGTAAAGAAGTTGTCATCTGGTGTGTCTGGGACAGTGCCAGCTTTGGATCACCTAGCTCTATGGAAGGCTCTTGAAGTCCCAGGTGCACCCAGCCACAACTCCTGACACCATCATGAAAAAAACCTTTGATGAGAAATAGGTGGGCTGATAGTCTGCAACAATTATTATTATTTTAAAATATATTTTTATTGATTTCAGAAAGGAAGGGAGAGGGAGAGAGATATAAAAACATCAGTGATGAGAAAGAACCATTGATTGGCTGCCTCCTGCACCACCCCCCCTGAATTGTTTGTGTCTTGATGGTAAAAGAAAAAAAAGGTACTGACTCTAAACCCTGGATGTATACCATAAATAGACTAGAAAGGCCTGGGACAGCCTCTCTTCTCCCATCTCTCTCCCTCCCTGCTCCAGTATATTACTTCAGATCTGGAATCCTACAGGTTAACATGGATTCTATTGGTGGCTCAGGGATTCTCTTTCTTTGCAAACCTGCAATTTAACACTGCCATGCTCAGAGAAGCAGTCCCAATTAGGAGACCCTATAGCACCTGCTCAATAACAAGAGCAAACATTGCCATCTATCAGGCATCCCTTTAAGTATTTTTTATATATTAATTCACTTTATACTTAAAATAGGTAGGCAGGCACTATTGTCCTCATTTCATAGGTGGGGAAATTGAGGCACTGAGCTCTTAAGTTACTTTCCCAAGATCACACAGCTAGTAGGTGGAAGAACTAGGGCTCTGAACTTCTTGGTAGTCCGGGAATAAAATTCTGCGCTCTTAATTCCTATTGTATTTGAAAATGTTCTGGACAAGTTTCATCAAATTACATTAATATAATTCCAATTCTACCATGAAATACAATCACATACTCTGTGAATTCACACATTTGAATAAGCTTTGAGCCTCTTATGCAGCACGAAGCTGGGGGTGGAATAGAGCTCCAGTCTGACACCCTCAGGTGAACTGAGAGCCTTAGTACAGAACTGCCCAACACACATGCCTTGGCATACCCACTGGGAGTGGGCACAGCTACCGACCCCTATAACCTCCTGAAGGCTATATGGTGCCTATACCTCCAAGCTAGGGACCTCAAGCCTTAGGCAGCCTCATTGCTTTCTTCTTAATAAAAATATCCTTTTCTCCCCCTGCCATGATATGAAAAAGGTTAGGAGCCCTCTTTAGAGAATTGTGGGAGGGTAAAAGCGGGTATCTTTGGTGGTCTCTGTTCCCTGTCACTTCCTCCCTATCAGAGCGGTGGTAAAAGGAAAATGAAGCAGGCTCATCTGTGAGGATATGACATGGACTTTCAGGTGTCCGTTCCTCA